TTACCCCTTAGACGAGCCTCAAATAAATTGGAAATAAAAATACCATTCTTGTTTTGCCTTCATTTTGCTACATGAAAGGAGAGAAAAACATAAGCACCATCGGTGTAGCCGTCCTAAAATGACTCTTTAGAGGAGTGATTTCCTGCTACTTACCCTGCTCTTTTTCCTTCACCTTCTGAACCTCTCATTCTGGCTCTCTCAAAGAGATTTAGGGGAACAAAAAAAGATCGAAGGCAGAGATTCCCAAGAAAAAGTGTAGGACCTAAATCTGTCCAGAATATCTGGAGGAGAAGTGGTGTGGAGGAACACCATGATCCCAATCCTCATCTTACTCACAAACAGTAGAGCTGAGCTGTCTATGCCCCCTATCTTCCTCCTGACCCGCTTCCCTCGGATGGAGTTGTCTTTGCCATGGAAAAGCATCCTCTGTCGTAGCATGCACTGCTCTGCAGTCTGTGCGTGTGACATGCTGTGTTGCCATACTGTGTCCTCTTCCTAACCCTGTTGTCAGACCATTCTTTGGATCAAAACCCTTTGGGTCCCATTTTAGCTTTCTCATCATGGCATCTGCCATGGTGAGGATGCTCTGCCCACATGAGGGCCGGGTTCCTTCCCTGTAAACACATGCAGTAGTGTCAGAGGTGCCCGATATAGGTGTGCCTCCCTCCTGAGACCATCCACAGTGCTGCTTTAGGAAAACAGAACCAACCTGACTCTTGATATTTCAGACATTTCACCTGAAATACTTAGGGGAAAACGTATTGACTAGTCATGCCGTTAATCAAATGGTGGAATGTCATTCATTCCTTGGCTGTTGATTCTAAAGCGACTCCCCACCCCCACAATTTGTCTTGTCAGTATTTCGCAATTTTGAAACCAAAGGTTAGCCACGGAACATGGTATTTATTTCATGATGTATTTCCATTCAGGAACCCAGTGGTAATCACACACCTCCTCAGTTGTCTCCATCACTTAGCCAAAGCACTTACACCACTGGTGGCTCCCTAGACGTTCCTCACATTATCATGCAGGGCGATGCAAGGAGGAGAAGAAATGAAAACTACTTTGATGATATTCCCCGATCAAAACTGGAGAGGCAGATGGCTCAGGTAAGGTGTTATAAGCCTTTGTGATGTCTTTTTCATCCATATCAGGTAATGCCTTTTAATACTGAACAGTAGCTCACAAAATGGATGCTTACTGTCCGTGCCTACCTAGAATTTATACCATTTAATGCCCCGCCTTTCATTCCTTGCTCGTCTTAACTAGACTGAGACAGAAATTTCTGGGAATGGAATGTGTACACATGTCCTTGTCATGCATTCCTGCTGAAGAAATTATGTCTGATCTCATTGCACCCAGAAAGTCTTTGCCCTAAAGGGAATAATATTGTGTCAAAGTCAAATCATAATGAAAATGAATAATAAAAGTCTAGATTACAAAATGCAAATTGGTTGGATAACGAGGCAGAAGTTTCGGGGTGAGGATTAACCCCGTGTGATGTTGTTAATTTCCTCCCAAGTCTATACATTCATACAGAAATGCTCTACTGGGACTAGTTGCAATATCTCATTGTCACCTTGAATAGTTGAAAATAACAATGCTTTCTGACACAAATAATTGAAAAGAGAGATCTGTCACGTTCAGACCTTTCCATGTTTTTGGATGTTATGTCTAGCCTATCCTTGGATTGCTGCTTAGAAACTTGAGTCAGCCTTAACCAAAGAGTAGTGCTGTTCTTAATGCACATTCAGGTGGGCAGCTGGCTCCACATTTCGCCCTGAGAGGCAAAACTATGGATTTCTTGCCAACTATTGGCAGAATCAACTCTTTTCATCCTCATTCTAAGTTCAGACAGATGTGCAGGAGTCTTCTCTTTGCCTCCCACACCTAAGATGGGAATCTTGAGGTGAAAATTTAACTGTAATTGCTTTGCCTTGGTTGTTAAATATCTTTCTCAACTGTTTAGTGAGATTTTGTTTTTAAAGCCTCTGGTAAACATTCTATGCTGCAGCTCATGAAAGATAAATGTGAAGAGAATGTTCTGGAAACCATGGCTATTCTGCCTGCAAATGCCTTGGGGAGAGTAGGCCTGGGATACTGTGTCTTCTTTCAGCTCCTTTAATTTTGAATTGTTCTCTGGGTTCTTTGTGCAGGAAATGGCAATGTTGGGATTATGGAGAATCATTTATTGAAAGGGGATGGAAAATATGGGAGAAATAAGAAAATAATAATTTTCTCTTTCTCTGTTGCTAGGTATTGTCTTTTAATTTTTATTACTGTTTTCACTGGTGTTCTTTTAAAGAGGGCATCTGAAAGATTTTTTCCCCCAGACTTTTTATTTATTTCCTGTTACTTATTATATTTTCAAATCACATAGGTGGTTAAATTTCTCTAATGACAGCATTTCAGATATGTAGTTTGTTTTAACCTTGAACCATGTAGTCTTTATGTATTAATATGACCTGGGTCTTTTCTGAGCCTGTTTCTTCCCTGGGTAAGGGAAGATAGTTCTTTAATGAGCATTAGCTATTATTGACTTGTGTCAACCTCAGTATAACAGAATCACTTCTCTCAGCGGCTTATATAATTTATGAAATTTCTCTATATAGTGCAGTTTTTTTTTTAAAGAGGAGTTACCCTTCCACCTATGTATAAACACTCAGAGGTGACCTAGCAAGACTGCACCCTTACATTCTGCCTGAGGTTCACAAGCAGGGGCAGGAGTACCAAATAGCACACATTTTTTAACCGGTTGCTCCAATCAGAAATGCATCCCTTACAAGAATTGTCTTGCATTGAGAAAATGGAATGGACTTTTATCTGGCCAGGTGAGAAAAGCCCAAAAGCAGAAAGTAGAGTGAGACAAGCAGGGATGTGGTGAATCAGAGACCTGTAGATGCACGCATTCCCCTCACATGGGCTGCTAACAATGATCGAGTGACTGCTAGAGACACAGGCTCCATCAGCAACCGGGAGCTTGTTAGAAGCTCTCTAAAAGCCTGCTGTTCAATACAGCACTTCTGCTGCAGGGAAAATAGGGGATGACACCACAGGAATCTGATCAATAAGAAAAAGAGATTCTGGAACTTCAGCTCTTTAGGTGGTGTTAATTGCAATTTTGAGCATGATCCCTAGTCTGGCAAGGCCAAAATCCATGGAGCAATGAATGCATGCCTCTTAAAACTGGTGCTTTAAACCTGTCAAAGTATGAAATACTCTGCCATTTTGTTGTTGAATAATTCAATTGATGTGACTTTTCCACCACTCAACCATTCAGTTGATGTTTGTTTTTTCTTTTCTTTTTTTAAATTTATTTTATTGCATTTTAGGTTTTGGGGTACATGTGAAGAACATGCAAGATTGTTGCATAGGTGCACACATGGCAGTGTGATTTGCTGCCTTCTGTTTTACCTTATTTTTGGTCATTTGCTGTAATACTTTTTGTAATTTATTTACTTTTTAGAAAACTTGTCGTATCTCCCTAGACCATATTTTTTCCCCTGAAGTTACGTATTTAGGCAATCAAGTTGGCTCTTCCTAAAGACTTGAATTAGCAATTAAAATTATTGCAAGCAAGTAGCTTGCAACCTGGAGCGCCCTCCTTCCAACCTGGAGCTCCATTCCTCCAGTTCTTTCCCAAGGGGTTTCTCCCAAGAAACTTATTGTAGCTTGGTTAATGCTTGCCTAACCAGTCCGTTTCCCACTTAGATGCAAAGTTGAGCTTCAGGCTTTCTTTCCTACCTACCAAAAGAAAGGAGACTTCAGTTTAGAGAAAATCACCAGGACATATTTATGTTCTTAGAAACCCCTCTGCTTCAAGTTTAGCTGAGCCACTGCTAGAGTGATTTGGAATTCTAGCCCTAGGCCAGAAACCTTAAGTTCTTGGTGGCTGCAATAATTTATAGGAGTTTTGCCTTCTTGAGGTCTGCTCACCAGATGTTTGGAGGTGCTTTGCTTAACTTGGAAAACCAATGCTTAAAATTAAATTGAGATAAATTTAATGTCCATTTTACCTGTTAAATTTGTTAGCAGATATTTAAAATAAAACACTAGAATAGTGTTTAATTGCTAGTTTTTAATTTGAAACAATATTTCTTGGGATACAGGGGATTTGCAAACATTGTTTGCTATTATTCTAATATAAGCAATATTCTGGCATCAAATTATTTTAAATGAATATGTGAGAAACAAAATTGAGTTCAGCATGAACTGAATGTAATGATATAAATACATCTGAATTATGGGTTTCCTATCATGCTGAAAACATAGCTTCTCTAGCTTGTAATTCTAAACTGGACTCATTAGCCCAAAAGTTCTGAAACACTCCACCATTTCCATACCCCTAATAAATAGATGTTGCATTCACATTTGTATAATTATACCTTAATATGCATAGTGCTTTTAAATTCTCAGAGTACTTTGACATCTGTTATCTCATTTTAGCACAAACAAGGTGTCCTACACACTATTAATGTGCATACAGCACATGGCATATCGGCTTTTAATTCTGAGTTATGTAGAAATGAGACAGTAAATGGAAAATATATCAGGAGGAGGAAAATATTTTTAGTATTTAGGACCTAATTGCAATCTTCCAAAGTTTTCTTGAATGATATTTAGAAGTCTAAGTAACCTTAAAATAATGAGAGGGATGGAATGAATACAGTTAGGGCCACATTCTCCAAACTCATGCAAAAGAAAAAAGAGTTTCTAAATCCCAAAAATTACAACCATTTATAAGAGGCTTCCATTTACAGAAATACATATGAGAAAATGAAATACTTGTATTTTCACAAAACAAAGACTTCTCAACAGTAAAAGAAATGCATATCTTTGCATAAACTTTAACTTAAATATTAGTGAGAATAGTGTGTAATATAAAGTCTTTATGTTTTGAATGCACTTATCTAAATTTTTAAAAAAAGCATTATCTGGGGCACTAAAAACACTTTTTCTAAATTATTAGAAAATCAATTCAGGTGTAAGCTTAATATTTCTCAATATAAATAGTATTAATAAGTACAACTAGATCAATTTCTTCCCTATTGAAAGCATTTTGTATATTACATTTTAGTTCTTCCAATGTTCGTTGTTTTGATATTACTAAAGAAAGGGTGGCAGAAGCTGAGCCGTACAGAAGCACTGCTCTAGCCAGGTCGTGCCTGGGATTGCACATGCAGTATCTTATTTAATCCTCACGAGAGCCTGTGTTCACATGAGGAAGCCAAGCAAGGTGAGTGCTTGGCCTCACAGCTGGTAAATGGCAGAGCTGGGACTCAAGCCCTGGCCTGCCTAACCCTGTCCTTGTTCCTTTATAGTCCCCGATGCCCTGTGCCTTCCTCTGTATTAAAATGGTATAAAATATTTAAAAACAGTTCAACAAATACTAATTTCCCATGTGCTGTAATAGATTCCATTTATGTGGACACTGCAAGCAGAAGATAAAATCACTAGAAGTTTAGTGGAAACTGATTGAATCAGCTCATGGTTAACACCATGAAATCCTTAAATGCAAAACTACGTTGGTTATTTGTTGATCCTTCAGCAGAGACTCTGCACAGTGTGGCAGAACTCTGCCCATCTCCCATGTATGTGAAAAACTTCATAAGTAGGTGGTGGGTTAACTCTGCATGCCGACAAGTTCTTGCTGGTGGTGTTTCTCCCAATAGTGGATGCTGTTTCCTTAGTGGCTTCTTCAGTTGGAATTCTGATTTGGTTTCTTTCTGGCTGTGTGACCTGGACCAAGTTATGTGGTGACTCTGAACTTGAGTTTTGTTTTGTTTTGTTTTTTGTCTTTAAAATGTGGATAATGTCTGCTGCTCAGGCGTACATGTATCAAATAATTTATATGAAAGCATATTCTAAACTGTAAAGCATTGTATAGACAAATATGACTCAGTTCAGACACATCACCTGTCAGTCCCTAATTCAAAGATCCCTGCTCATTGTAGGCCAATTGATGACAGAGAGTTGAAGGCAAGTGCTCAGGTGGTTGTAGCATTCTAGAAAGACCATCTTTTGTTCCAGTGTTACCCATACTTAGCATGTATATTGAGAATGAAATTTGAATTTTTCTTTTTTATTATTTTAATTGTGTAAACACATC